CCCTCCCTCTCCTCCTCCTCCTTCTTCCCCTCCCCCTCCTTTCAATCCAAATCCAGCGCATCCAAGACAACATATATAAAATTACAGCTTTCCTGATGACCGTCTCATTCTCTTTCTTATTTATATATCTTTTGAGCCGAAGACCAAAACAACACTACATACGTACTACTTTCTTTAAAAGATAAAATGTTCCAGAAGAATGTGAAAAACGAAATCAACACTTGAATAGTATCAAGTGGCCATTTTCATGAAAATTAATAAACTTGGGAAATTTAATTCGAAAAACATTGCACTTGCTATATTTTCCAAAGACCTTCATCACATAGACAATAAGGCAAAAGAGTGCTCTACATAAGAACAAGCAAAGAGAACATTAGATTACTAAAATAATTCCTACAATTTACATGTTTTAAACAAATTCTTGCATAGATATTATCTCACTGGGAATTTTTTTTACATTGTAACTTTTCCCTACAAATATGCCATTTTTATGAACATCATAAAATGTTAGTCTGTCTATGTGCTATGCAGATACAGATACTCTTCTACCTTATCTATTTCAGCCTTCTTTTTCTCTGGGGAGCAGAAAATAAATAATTTTTAAAATCACTTAAATAAGTTCAAAACTACGTTGTTCTGCTGTGTGGGAAAATGATTTTCTGAGAAGGAGTAAGTCTCAAATAGATTTGGAAAATAATATAAATTGATCTCTTTAATGCAGAATGGTTAAAAATATTTTAATATGTGATGTTTCTCTTAATCTTCAAATGACTGGGAAAGTCAAAGGTATGTATTTGCTATGTAGTGTTATCTAGTATTTTGACTCTAGACCCAGTTTTTAAAGGACTACACTATAAAAATGCTACTTAAATATGTATGTACATTTACACATAGATTCTATACAAACATACCTGTATGCTATCTTTTTAAAAGCAAACAATGAAAGGATAAATGTAAAATTAATTTAAGTGTACTAGAGCTATGAGAGAGGAAACGAGGCAATAGGTTGCAGGAGATAAGAACAAAAATGTATCTTCTTTAAATTTACCTTGTTTTTTAATTTGACTTGGTAAATGTGTAATTTGTACCCAAAGGAAAAAATAACCTTTTGAAAAACAAAAAAATAAAATAAAATAAAATTAATATACCAAATTGACCTCATACATATACTTAAAAATTATGTAAGTGACTTTGGAATACAGTGTTTCAACTGTGATTTCTATTGCAATAAATCTTAAGGCCAAAATTAACTAGAAATAAACCTTAAACTCAAAAAATGTAAGGCTAGCAGTGATATCTGTGAGTGATTTTGAAATGATTTTATTGCACATTATATCATACAGCAAAAAGTAATTATGCTAGCTTTTAGAAATCAAGAATTTCAGCATGAGAAGTAGATATAAGGGCATAGTCAAATTAAAACACTCTAATTTCTAAATCAGAGCTGAAATGTTAGCATGAATTCATGATATCTTTCTTAGTTATTTCCTAGCTTTGTCCACTGAAAAAGCACAGAAGCAATAATGACCATTATAGTAAGAATTCATAGCACCCATATTTTTGTATTTTTGCTCTGACAGAAGATTTCCATGGGGGCAAAGAAATGGCTGAATCCAGATGTGGGGCAGAAAATATATAAGAGCAACCTGGAATACTACTGAAGTGTCAGAAAGAAAGGAAGACCTAAAGATTAATAGGGTCAAAATTTTAAAAACTAAGAACACTTTTCTTTTCTTTTTCTTTTTTTCAGTACAAGGAATGGAATTCAGGAATACTGTATCACTGAGCTGCATCCAGCTCTTTTTTATTTTGTAACAGAGGTTCACTAAATTGCCCAGGCTAGCCTCAAACTTGCAGTCCTCTTGTCTCAGCTTCCTGAACAGCTGGACCCTTACAAGGATATAGAAGTTCACAAAGTGCCATTAGTCTTTCTATGGTAATGAGAAAGCACTGAAGAAAGTTAAAAAAATAATCGCACTGTCTTTAAAACCACTGAAGAACTATGGATTTGAAATAATTAGACAAAAGTTTTAAATAACAAAATATGTTAGGGAACGAAGAGAAATCTAGAAGCAAAGTGGGTGGATGGTGGAAAATATCAGCAAAGCAACTGAAGCTTAAGAACCAAGTGGAAATTCTAAAATTGAAAGAAAAACAATAGCTGAAATGAAGTCTTCATTGAATAGACTTTTAAAAAAACTAAATGCAGCTCCAGAAATTATTGGTAAATGCAAAGATAGATTATTAGAAATTATCCACTCTAAAGTACAGAGAACAACAACAAGCAGAATATAATACTATATATACAAAAACAGAATCTAATACTAGAACAAATCCAAATAGTCTCATGTCCATGTACAGGTATTGCTCATTTAATGACCAAATTGTCTTCCTGTGACTAGGATTGGTTGCTAAATGAGGAATTTCATTAAAATACTCAAAACAAAAACACGGTCAAAAGAAATTCTGACTTGATGACTTTGCCTGTATTTGTATCACTCTTACGTGCAGTACTACTATGTATAACATAACAAAAATCCGCAGTACTGTACTGTACAGCACCATCAGCAAAAATTACAGTACTATACTGTGACAAAAGCCACCACAAGGCCACACTGCCACTTCCACTCACGTCCCTGTGTCATAAGTCTGAGCAGGTCATAAGTCTTGAGTGGCTGGTCATAAGTTTAAACAGTCGAAAGCCGAGTAGGTCATTAAAGGAGGAATGGCTATATTTGAAGGAAATCAGAAAGAAAGCATACAGCTAATGAACAGAAGAATAACTTTACAAACTGTACAGAAGCTATAAAATCCTAAATCCAATGTCATCCAAACCTAACTAGACTAAGTAAAAGGAAATCACAGCTGCCATACTAGGGACAAACTGGTATTAATAAAAGAAAGGAAAAATCTTGAAAGCAATCAAAGTCTGGGAAGGAAATATTATATTCTCTAAAACATAAATGTAATACTGAATTATCCCATTCAACATGGAAATTAAACTATAAAGAGCAAAATGCTTTGAAGAGGACTATGCAAAAAGCAAAAGAAAGACATTTGCAAGCCAAAAAAAATGCTAAGTATGAAAATTCAAAAGCAAAATAGCTCTGTAAGAAATAATAAAGTTTTTCAGCCTTAAAGGAAAAGATCTCAGAGGAAATCTAGACTTGAGAGAAGAGTTACAAACAGTAAATGTGGGGTTTAATATGATAAATTTCTTTCATGTTTCTTCCATACTATTGGCTCTTTAGAGGAACTGTAAGGGTTTCAAGATGACTTCATAGAGGTACCCAATGCTGGGCGGGATGGTGCAAGCCTGTAATCCCAGCACTCGGGAGGCTGAAGCAGCCTGGGCTACAAAGTGAGCTCAAGGCCAGCCTGAATTGCATAGTGAGACCATGTCTCAAAAAGAAAAAAAGACAAAAAAAAAAAAAAGTAGACGCACCCAGCACTAACCTGTCTCCTTCACAAACAAGATCCAAAGGAACAAGTATATAGCTGCATTTTGGGGTGAAAGACGGTGAGAGAATACAGAAAATGAGCAAGAGAGAAACTGGATCCTTATAAGACTCAGCACATGGGACGACATTACAGCAGTAACAACAAAATATCCTAGCACCTGAGCTTGCAGCTCCAGAGCTAGAGAGTGTGTCTCCCCTCTGCAAGGGTGAGGGTGAAAGAGTCCCTGCAAATGGTTTGAGCACAGTAGTTGGTAAACATAGCCACTGTAAAGTTCCGTAACCCCTTCAAGTTTGCAGCCTACTTTATACCAGCGTCATGAGTGAGTCACCCACTCAGCTCCTGCCACCCCTCCTACAGTGCTGCACACAGTCATGCCTCACAAGCAGCATGGGAAAGGACTTTGTGTTCACTCCCATCTTGCCCAGTACAGTACTGCGGTTGCTGAGGCAGCCTTGAGAAACACTGCAGGTTCAACTGTCACCCTGATGCCAGAATGCACTGCCAAGAGAGGTCTTCAGAGAAACTTCCTGGTTTCTGGGCTACACTGTCACTCATTGTTGGACATTTCATTTTAATGACTCAGAAGAAAAGCCCCAGCCTTTACCCCACTGAGTATGCAAAGAGCCAAAAGAAGAACCAATAGGAATCTGCCTGGCTCTGGCCATGACCCACTCTCACTGGCAAGCATTACAGCTGAAAGAGTCTGGGAAAGAAAAGCCCTAGAAGTCACACCATCCCCCAGGTGCAGATAGCTGAGGGTATGGAAGTCTTGTTCGTGGCTGGGTATTCCCACAGTAGCAACAGAGTTTCTTCTACTCCTACACCTTCATGTTTCCCATTGCCAGCTGCTCCTACACCTTTCTGACCATGTACTGCCATCAAGAATGAGTATAAGAACCACAGAGGGGCTATCGCTGCTCCAGACATCACTTCTTTTCATGAAGCATTTGAATTTGCACCATTATCGGGTCAGAGGACAGGTGCTTCAGATCTCTCACCATTACTGGTGCAGCAAATGCCAGAGCTCCTTACAAGTAACAAAGCCACCATTAGTAGTGCCTAAGAAAACCCCCATCACCACGTAGGGGCTCCCACCTACA